TTTCAGAAACACAAAAATTAACCGTAGTGGAATTTTTCCTACTACCATTTTGTTCTTTACTATTTCATTTGCGTTCTGGTTCACTTGCCGCTCCCCTCAGTACCTCAATAGATCTCCACGTGCCCTTCTTGTACCCAGGATATACCCGGTAATGAAAAGAAATGGCTTATTGCACTTGAGCGGACTGTCTAGAGTAACCCGAGAAGTCTAATCCCTTCCGTGCGCAAAAGAAACTGTTCTACAATAGCAGAAGCCGTACGTTACCAAGTACCCGAGACGACTTGGCAAGGACGCTAGGTCTTCGTGACTTGAAGCTGTCCACGCCCCACTGTGGTGGAACATGCCTACCGCACTGCACGGTCTCGCACATTTCGAGTTTCATTGTCCGATTTCGAGTTCGTTTCCTCACTCGGAATCACTCGCAAAAGGAGTCCTATAAAGAACGTTTTCAACGCTTTCTCTTGATTTCTCCTTGACGGGTATGTGGCAAGAGAATCGTAATTCGCCGCGCCAGTGGGCGTCGCGTGCGACGTCGCGCCCGCTAATGACGACGATTTTAGGTGGTATTGGTCGAGAATAGACAATGTATGACCAAAAATAGACATAAGTGTCTACCATGTCCTTGTCTACATGAAATCCGATGCTCCAATCGAAAGGGTAGTGCAAAAGGAAACGTCGCGCCCATTGCCGCGCGCGACGGAGCGGCAATTCAATTGCACGTCCCCCCTCCTTCACTAAGGAGCAACCTTAACAAGTCTGATTCTCATCACATTCTGTAATCGAAACTTCTACCATTTCACTTCTAAGCGAGCTATGTCCCGGAAAATCGGTAGAAACTTGTGCACCGCGCTTGTGGCGTAGGCGCTAGGCATGTTCGCGCTAAACGATATGATACTCGTGCTCATGGGGTCGAAATTCCATGAAACGTGATAGCATTTCATGGTTAGCGTGACACCTTTCAACTTAACTCAATTCAAGGTGCACTTTGACCGTTCCCTTGCCTCAACTTACTCATTCG